GGGGGAAGGGGCCCGGCGGCTGCCTGTCAGGGGTGCGCGTGCACCTCGCCCAGAGCGCCCAACTGCGGATGCGCTCTCGCAGGCGGGACCCCTGACCGGGCCCCCTGCCGCACACCCAGGGGGCGCCCTGAGCAGAGCCTGCGCCTGATGGTGCTTGCTCCCTCAGACGCCCCAGCGGCCCCGAGACGCCCCCCGCAAAACCCACAGAAGGGCGCCGCGCCCCAGCGCCCAGCGCCCAGCGCCTAGCGTCCTGCGCCTGCAAGCGCGGACCCCCGGGGCGCACCCCCAGCATCGTAGTAGCCGCCAACGAGGTCCTGGCCCAGGTTCTTGCCCTCATCCAGGTGCGCGTCCCGCCGCCAGCCGCACTTCTTGTCAGCGCGCACGCGGTTCCAGTCCGGCAGCTTCCCGGACTGCTGCGACTCGTAAAACAGGTAGGAGAGGCCGAGGACGTCCCCAAAGTCCTCCTTGCCCTTGCCCGCGGAGATGGCCGTGTTGCACGCACCGATGAGCTTGCCCTTGGCGGCAGTGGCGGCGTGAGGTGCCAGCTGCAGGGCGGGGCCGGGTGGGGACGGGGGGGCGTTGGTGCGGATGCCTGCCACCGAGGTGATGATCCATGTGGCGACAGCCTCGCGAGGTGGCTGCAGCGAGGCCGCGCCTGCCGCAGCTGGTGCACAACCAAGGCACTGCGGGCGGCGGCACCACACATCCAGCGCCTTTGGCACAGCTGCTCGCATATTGGCTAAGTACGGGCCGTTTGCGAGAGCAATGCGGATGCGATCGCGTCGCCACGCCCTGCGGCTCCGCGGCAGCGTTATTCCCCACTGAAAACTCTCCTAAGTGCATATGGATTGCGCTCACCACTACGAGTGCTAGCACCACAGCGCAAACGATGGCCAGTCCTCTCATTTTTGCTTCGCTTTGACTTGTGTTGAATATGTCTGCGCAGAGCTGCTGCGCGAAACACGTAACAAAGATATTGTGGATCCAAAGTCACGGCTGGGTATGTACCAGGGCACTCAAACGCCGGAGCTGTAGGCCCGCGCTTGCCTAGTGGTCACTTGCCAAAATCCACATCAGGCGCTGGCGTAGGGGATGATACAAGCGATTTAATATATCAATTTCACAACCTAATACGCGGGTGTTACTTCGAAAAAGGTCCCAAACACCGCACCGCCTTCGCGCGGGTGTTTCCCTCGCAGTTTGGCAGGACGAGCGCGTCAGCTTGAACGACGACGGGCAACGTTATTTTATAGTCATAACAGGGACAAGAGTCGCCGCTGTGTGGTTCTGTTACGGTTTAGAAACCCCACATTTTCTGTTGGCCGTCTTGCCTTTATACATGTAAGTTCCGGTCTCTCGCAACCTGCTGATTTAACCAGCAGACCGCTCAGTGGCTAGTGCAACACCAGCCGTTGGGGCATGGCAACGCGGTTGGAAGCAGGAGTGGGATGGTGACATCTCTTGCTGTCATCCGGGCTGATTATGCTTTTGTCAACTGGGAGTCGAGACATTGCAGGGATGAGCACGGATCAATCTAGTTGTTTTGAGCTCTTGTATGTGAACACGCGCATTGATGACATGGCCAATTGATTCTGCGTTTGCCCACAGACTCCGCCCAATTGGTCGAGTCATCCCTGATGACGCACAGGCGGCAGTGCGACTGCAGCTCACACGCCAAACACAACAGCAAACATGAATCGGTAGTTGTGATTACAGACCCATGGCGTCGAGACTGCCCCACGCCAGGGGCACGAACCAAGCACAGGGTGGCCAGGGAGAGGCGGGCACACCGGAGCAGCGGTGCGCCCTGCGCCGCCACTGCGGCGCGCACGCCAC